AAGTAAGATTGCCTCCAATAAGCAACCTCTTGTTTCTGCAGAAGCCCATGCCTGCCTCAGCACGTGCCAGAAAGGGAGTCATGAGGAATTCTGCTGAAACAAGATACTATTGACTCACATTGTTAAAAAATGACAAATTTTGGTCTTCTTTATGTATACTAAACGGTGTCCAATGAAAAAGAGACTTAGAAGTTTTTTAAAAATGCATGGATTGCATGGATTTATTGCATAGACTTATTAAGGTCCTTACAGAAAAGTAATTTTTTTTTTTTTTGAGTAACAATGGTACTGCTTCATCACGAGAAATTTTTAACTTTCTGATACTTTTACTAATACAAAATGTAGGTCTCTGACCTTATTCATCATGCATAAAGACTGAAGCAAGGCTTCTACACAAATAATGTGACCAGTGCAGATTGATGTAATGAAGAACATCAGGATTCTGGTGGGTGGAATGTGCACCTTCAAATATAGTCAGAATTAGTTGGTTCTTGAACATGTCTATTACAACTCAAGATCCCTGCTGCATATGCTTTTACTTTGCATATGCATCAAAATTTATGTGATTCAAGTTTTAGAGTCACTAGAGATTTTGAGTGCTGAATATAAGAAACATTTAAGAAACCTGTTTTACGGAGGGCAGCTCCGAAAAATCATGTTATTCAAAGGTGTCTTGACTGGGACTTTTCTTTTTGTTTCTGTATGTGCAGGTAAATGTTTAGGTTTGTGCATATGGTGCACATAAATATGCCCTTAAGCAAGAAAGTTGCATGAGTGGTTGGGTTTCAATGTGAGTAAAGGGTTTGCCCTAAATTCAGGATAATCCTATTCCATAATGCTGCTATCATTAGGAAATGCATTCTGCAGCTGTCTTTGGGAAATACATGAAGAATAGACTTTTTGAGTTCCATGTGCTCACTATGTATTTCTGCAGCCCTTTTAAAATAGATGCCTCATTCTTCCCAGCTAAAAAAAGGGAACAATTTGCTGATAATTTACTGTCTTTTAACATTTGCTTTCTCTATAAAACCTTAGGAAAAATGTTGGAGTTTCCCCTTGCTGTTAAATATAAAAGCTACCAGGTTTCTTTGAAAAAGAAAACTGATGAGCTCAGTTTAGAGCACATAATTGCTGCCTTTACTATTACAGGAGATAATACAACGCTAAGTAACACAGACAGGGCAGTTACTTAATAAGGACCAAGTACATGGTTATTGTGTCAGAGATGGTTATTTAGCATGCTCATACTAAAACTTAACGAACCATTTATTATTATATTTTTGTTTACCTTTTTATTTGAGTAATTCCATTTATAAATTTTTCAGCAAATCATTGTTAAATACTGAAGCTTTGACTAAAGTCACCTGTGAATCCAGCCATGAGCCTTTGGACGATAGGCTATGGTGTAAAAAGCAAGGCAAATACGTTATTTGTCTTGATATTTCTTCTTTTTGCTTCGTCTTTCACATCTCACACTTTGCACTTCAGGGCTGGTTTCAGTGCAACATGAAAAATTTGTGCAAATGAGACACATTTCACTGGGCACTTCAACCTTTTTTTAAAAAATAGACAGCATTACAATTTTGCAACCTACGGTAGGGAATGAAAGCTAGCATTCAGACACTTCAGTTCCTAATTACCAGAAGATAAATGGACATAAAATTATTAAGCAAAAGAATTTGAACACCATCAAAACCAATAAATGTTCCATAGGAAATGAATTTGGTAAATTTTAAGCGCATTATAATTAATCACCATGACTTGTTCATGAATTATAACTTGTGCTGCACTTGGCTACAATTATTTTGATTTAATGCTTTTTATCAGTGAATAAAGTTATTCAATTCCATTTAACTATCTAAAGCGATTTGCAAGATCTAAACTCTCAAATATCTCTCCTGTTCATCTCTTTTCATTTCTCCCATCCAGCTTTTTATGAGTCACTGAATTATTTCTAAATCCCAAACACATTTGGGTGACTAGCTTACTTACAAAACAACAACCGTAAAAAGAGGGACTCATACTGGATTATTAAATTGATGACTGTAAAGTTTGTATAAAAACCTTTTCATAGCTTATTTATGCACGCCTTTCTCAAATCATCGCTGAAGGGCTGGTATTGACCTGCAAAGGGAAGGTACTCTTCAGTCCCTGTTGCCGCAGAACTTGCCTTCTGAAGGCCTCAAAATGACTTAGCTATTAATGAATCAGGAATGTATTTGTCATAAGGAAATTACTTCTTACCTAAAAAACAACATTACAATTCTGTCATGAACACGGTAACTCAAAATACCATTTTTTTTGAAAGGTTTTTGAAGCTGGAAATGCCTTTTGGCTTTTATTTGCTTTCTTTGCCAACAGGAAGGAAAAAATAAGGGAGTGGAAAGGTCTGGAAACAGCATAATTAGGTCTGTTAAAGACATACGAAACATTGCTTTGGGGGAAGAAAACATGCTATTTGCAACAGAAAAATGTAAAGCGGGTAATAGAAGATCAGTTGCAAGGGAAAAGGAGCTATCGCCTGCATGTTGGGATGGGGTGGATAGAGGCATCGGCACAGAAGAGCCTCTTCAGTCTTCTGGTGAAACACTGACTGGGCACATCAAACTCTACCTCGGAAAATAAAACCATACGGGACGCTTTCTCTTCACACACTCATAGCACATACAAAATATTATTGGTGATTAATATAAAACTAAACTGTGTGTGAAAGTGGCTTGTGCCATCAGTCTTCTGGTTGATAAACCCCTTGTGGAAGGTGCAGACAAGCTGATGCTAGAAGTCTTTCTTCCTTCATCCCAGGCAAAGCCAGGGGAAGGAAATCAGTGCCACATCTGTAAGACCTGCCCAAAAAACCAAAACAGTTTGTCAAAAGATTATCTATCTGTTGCCTCATCCAATTTCTGGATTTGCAAAGAAGAGGCTGGCAGGATCTTCAGAATGTGAAGGTGAGCGTGAGTGCAGACCGGCGGGGGAAACCAGAATGGCTTCCAGCGGGGGAGCAGAACCACCCCCCACTGCTCTGAGCGGGGAAATCATCCTTCCTCCTAACACGACGTCAGAACGGCTGAATTGGGCCAGAGCGGCGTAAGGACATCATCACACCTCCTGGTAACACGCCCTTCGGCTCTGGGCCATTGGGGCTCAGGGGCTTCCTCTCCTTTCACGTAACCACCTCAATGGGGCCCAGAAGCAATGGGAAAAATTCACAAAACACTGCAATTCAGCCTCACGAGGCAGAACTACAACCAGGAAAGAAAACACTGTGCCTAAGAAAGCCGGGAGCCACTGCAGTCCTGGGGAAGAGGGCTGCCTTGGGAGACCGCAGGATTCAGAGAGGCAGCATGGCAAGCATGAACCTAGAAAGCAAACCCGCTTGGCCACATCCTTTCGCACTGACAACACTGGGAATCCCACCGAGTCGTCGAAGTTATTTTGCCTTGAAGCTCTGCTCCACGTTACACACTAAGGGTTTCACTTTCCCGTAGGATGTAACTAAAAGCTGAGGCAAATATGAAAATTCTTAAATTTGGCATATGCCTATTTAAACTCAAGATTTTATTAAAAAATACATCACCAGTTTCCACCTCTGTCAAGGGCTGTGTACACCAGACCTCTCGTAGGATGTTCTTGAGTATTGACTCCGAAATGGCTCTGAACTCCTCTCACTACCACCGGACACTCAATTCCACTTCTTCTCCTGTCTCATCTGGGAATAAATACCTCGTTTTGACAGGTTGTAGAGCTTCTTATTTTAAAACTTTCCTTTTCTTCTGGCACCGCTCCACTTCCTCAACTGCTTTCACTTTCTTTTTCATTTATTTTTAGTAGTAGAGATATTGAACAACTAAGAAACTACATTTCCAATTACTTTTTGGCATAAACTCTAGTGCTTTTGGCACACAGGTGCTATTCTAGCTGTACTTTGACTCCTTGCATTTCCTACTGTTAACATCCACAGTAACTGTTAATTAACTGCAGTTTAATGCAGTGGCCTCTTTTCTAGATTGTGGCAGCAAGGAACACAAATATTTTTGCTTTATACATCTCTCTGATCCCAGACAGGTATTTGGAAAAATCTTCCTCCACGGCAAGGGGAATAAACCTGTTCAAAAATTCAAATAGCACTGAAAAGGCAAAAATAAGTATCTGAATGAGCAGGCACATCTGAATTCGAAAATAAATTAGAAGTTTCAAGGAGTTAATGACTTATATGAAATAACCACTTTTCTCCTACTTCACTGAAGAAAGACCAGGTACAGGCCACAAACACTGTGTAGCTAAACTGGTACTGTGAAAAGAAAAAGAAAAAATAAATCCCAGTGTACGTATTAAGTGATTGCCTTGTATTTATTCATTAGCTTAACCCTTGCAAAACACCCCACCCACTTACTGGAATGTACAAGACTGTCAAACTCCAACATCCCTTTACAATTGTCTACGTTCTTCTAGACAGAGGCCACAGTCCTCAACAAGTAAAGGACAGAGTAAAGTAACAATGAGAAAAATGGTGTCAGGGAGTAAGAAGATTGGGGCTGCTCCACGCGGGGGTACGAGTGGGAGCTGAGGGTGACCCTGGCACAGGCCATACTCTCACTGGCCAGGGCTCGGTCACAGTGTGTCTGGAGATGGCAGGCAGAGCTGGGTGCTGGTCTATCATAGCCCCAAATGTGGCAAGTGATGAACTGGTCCAGGGTCCGTCCAGGGAGTCCCATCAGGAGCAGCAGGAGTAAGGGCTGGAGACAGTGCTGGAGAGGTGGTTACAATGCAGTTTCAAAGTCCACATGGGAGACAGGTACATCTGCAGATACCGCTTAGGGCAGGACTGGGGCTGCTCAGGGCAATTAAGGCCAATCAGTGCCCTCACGGCCCTGACAAAGCATCATTTACACACAACATGCTTCAGAACAACGTGCACGCATTCATGTCGAACATAGTGCTGGTGGTATGAAAAACCTTGTTTAAGACAGTAGTGCTGTTTCTGGGTTTTGGCCTGTTCATTACTGTTGTTTGATTTTTTTTGCAGCTTGTGGTTCTTTCTGATAATGTGAAATAATCTGAACAATTATGAGGCTATTAATAAAAAGGAAAAGCAAGCCTGCCAACCATATAAGTAAAAAAGTGTTATATCCTTTGAACTCCAGAAAGTACGCAGGAGCGAGCCACAGGCCTTGTCCAAGAAACCACAGAAAGAGAAGCAGCACACCACGACACCAGGACATCTTAACACTAGGCATTATGAGGGGCAAAAGGCAGAGATACCAGACGAAGTATTGGGATGTGCATACTTTGTTAAAGCTGACAAAAATAGCGGTGTGTAGGAAACAACAGAAGGCAAGGTCTCTGTAAAATGCTATGGACACAACCAGGAGCAAAAGCAGCTGGGGCAGGAAAGCTGCGAGCCCAAGGGCAAAACTCCATTTGCTCTCCGCAGTTAAGTACAACATGTAGAAATAGGGAGAGAAGTTATGACGAATATCCCTCCTGGTCAGGTGGTAGAGGTAGGCATGCTCCAAAAACTCCCAGCCATAGAGGTGATAAAATGCAACAGTCAAGGCAGCCAGCATCTCTGTGCCCCCCTGCAGACCTGCATCTGAAGTAAGTGGGGACCCTGATTTGAACTTCTTGAACTGGAAACATGTGTGTGAGCGTGCTCTTGTGTTACCATGACCTTGCACCGAGGCTGAAACCACATCGCTTTGCAGGTGGAGCGCGATGGGCAGCGCGTAGGTCAGCGGGTATATCTTCAGGTGCACAGCCAGCCCGTAGCAGGCTGCGGCCTTCCCCACGCTCCCCCCCTCCACCAAGTACAGGGTGGCGAGCACCAGCAGCGCCACCAGGGCCTCCGCGTTGCCCCGGCTGGAGACGGCCATGGGCAGAGGGTT